GAGCGTCGGCCATGTTTGGGCGATTTCCTATGGCAAGTTCTAAGGATTTCCGCGTGGTGTGGAATGGCATCTGAGATCTAATCTCCTTAAATAGACTACATCCCTGCATGGTCAAGGGGTTATTTGTAAAAGGTACCTGGACCGTTCGCATTCGTTTGACACGTGGAAGCCGAGGCGACGACGGCAATGAATCGATATGACATTTAAAATATGGAGCTGAACTATCATCAATCCGAAGTATAATGGAGAACCCGCCTTGCAAAGTCGAAGACATAAAGTCGGATACTACATCGTCATTTGAAGGCAAGTTCGGGGGCTACTGAGGGAGTCTTGGATTAAGGGGTCCTCGGATGGTCGGGCTGTGTGGCATGGGCCGAACCGATGGGCCGTGAAGATACAAGATAGAAGGCCTTCCCCCGTGTCTCGATGGGACTATCCTTTGCGTAGACGGCAAGTTTGGCGATTGGATGTGTAGTTTCCTTTCTTTGTAAACCGGCTATGTACAACCCTAGGTCCCTTCGGCGTCTATATAAACCGGAGGGTTTAGTCCGTAGAGGCAATCATAATCATACAGGCTAGACACCTAGGGTTTAGCCATTACGATCTCGAGGTAGATCAACTCGTGTAACCCCTATATTCATCAAAGTCAATCAAGCAGGAAGTAGGGTATTACCTCCATCAAAAGGACCCGAACCTGGGTAAACATTGTGTCCCCTGTCTCCTGTTACCATCGATCCTCAGACGCACAGTTCGGGACGCCCTACCCGAGATCCGCCGATTTTGACACCGACATCGGTCGCTTACGACGGCGGAGATGAACGCTCGACGTCTCCACCGGGAGAACGCCAAGGCTCTTCGACTTGCCATCGAGCAATCCTAGCGGGAGGTGTTGGAGAAGACGAAGGAGGCGGCTTGGTTGGCCAAGCTCAAGGGGCAGCAGGACCAGGCCGTCCAGCGCCTCAAGGGCCTCGTCATCGTCGACTCCTCCTCCTCCTCTGACGACGGCTCCTGCTCCGACGAATCGGACGCTCCTCCACCAGCCGACAACGGGTACAACTACGACGGCGACTAGAAGGGGAAAGGGCCGGCCCAGAAGTGGTGAAGTTGATTTTAATTTCAAGTTTTAGATGTAGTATATAGTTGTTTGTCGTTTGTGTGAACTTTGATGGATTTTTTGAAGAACTATTGTGCAATTTTTATGTCCGGAGATGATCTACGTAGTTTGGTCAACGTTGCATGCTATAGTATGCATATAGGAGTTCGGATATGAGAGACATGGATGTGAACGGCGTGATTGGGGCGTGCCCGGTCAGTGTCCGCGAACACGTCCGGACGTGTTCACGGGCGTTTGAGGGGCTGAATTTGCAAAGTCCGGCTGTAGATGATATAAGATTGGCTTCATACAACGACTTTGCTAGGATTACTCTAAATATTGCCTTCTTATGTTTCCTCTCCTATGCAACATACAGACCCCTGAATGAAGATTAACATATGTGGGCTCGAAGTTTGGGCTCATCGGTGCCGATTTCTTTAAGGAGGTTCAAATCAGTCGCCAAACAGATGCTCCCAAAACCCACACGTTCACCCATAAGATCTCAGAGAGAGATCAGAGGGCGGATATTATGGTTGAATGCTCGGTGGCCCACGGCCGATCTTCGCGGGACAGAGACGGCGATCGGGCAAAAGGCGCGACACGTTCCCAGCTTCCCACGCACGGCAGTTAAAGAATGTCTGCGTCAAAAAATGAATGAATGAATGAATGAGCAGCCCTGCTATGCCATGATGCCACCTCGCCAGTGGATCTTCTCCCTCCCTCCCTCTGCGCTCTCATTTAAGACAACCATGCATCAGAGGCAGATTTGCTCTGCCCGCGCTCAGTCCAGTGCGAGTGCTACAGCCTACAGACACAGAGCCCAGCAGCGTAGATCCGCCCAACCAAGAGGTCGGTCTCTACGGGCTACGGGTTATTCCGACCTCTGGGAAGCCGACATGCGCATGTCGCCAACACGCCACAGCCCACGCCCCGAAGCCACGGCCGGCCATTTGATGCGGGTCGCTGGATCAATCCGTTCCCGCCGCCTGCGTCCGGATACGGTGCTGGCCTGGGGAGAGCAGGCAGGCGCGTACGTACAGGTACAGCGCCCATGCCATACATGACACGAGGATCGGGTCCGGGATACGCTAGCTCAGCTCAGGTCAGATCGTCACGTATACGCTGTCTGCCAACGTTTTATTGCGTGCTGGAAGCGATCTGCGGGGCGCGTACGTGCACGGTGGTGCTACTTTATTACGGACGCCAGTCAATCTTAGACCAGCCGGGGAGAGAGAGAGATCTCATGCGTGCGTGTTGGGTGCGGCTAGGCTGCTTCCGTCGCAGTCCGGGAGGTCGCGTCCGCGGGATTCGGCGCAGCTACGAAGGAGCCTGTCTGCCTAGTCATGTCGGAAAATCTTCCTCTGACCTGGACTAGTAGCAGTAGCACACCCTGTCGAAGTCGGCCTCGTCATTCGAGGTCCATGGAGAGGATGCCCCTCCACCACGCCAACGTTCAAACCTACCCCTAACACTGGGATTTATTATGTGTGAAAATTGACATTTCTGACCCTTGTCAAATGACTATACTCCTATCTTCTTTTGAAAATATTAATGAGTCTGACTTTTCGAAGAAGATTTTAAATGAGAAACAATCCATCTCAAAAACTTAAGCCAGATCCGAGCCTTCATGTCAACACCACCCACCACGGCTTCAAGTGGATTGGGTCAAGACTCAGATGATGCACTTGACATAGCCAAGTGCACCACATTTGTTTCCGCATCTTTAAACGGAAGGAGAAACAAACACAGGAAATCCTGAAAATGAATACCAAAGTAGATATATTCAAAAACTATTTCGGAGCAAATGCAATGTCGACCTGGATATAAAAAGAGAAAGTTTCCCGGAACTCAAAAACCCTTGAACCATAGAGACAAACACAATCAAACCGCTCCAATGTAGATGCAAGGAGGCGTGGAAGATGGGAATAGGAGCCCGGGAGGCGTGTAGTGAGAGAGACGAGGGTCACAAAATTGGGGGAGAGTTAAGTTTTTGTTGGATAGGACTACATTAGACCAAAAGTGTATATGCCTTGGGCTGAAGTGGTATACAACTATAAGATAATTTTTTTTCTCACATGTCTATATGATTTTTTTTGTTTCAATATGTTTTCCACTTGAAACTGCAGTCTTATTTCTACCAAAGATAGCTACCAAACTACTTGCCATCGTTTACCTATATAAGGGCTAGACGGAGCTCCGTCAAAAGCTTAAGACCACGCAGGAGCCTCATATCTGTAACTAACTCAATAAATAGTAAAACACCATTTTAATCTCCCTCATTGATTAGTAAAGATAGGTAGGCACAACATAGGGTTATTACGCATCGGGGGGCCTAAACCTGGGTAAAACCACCTTCAACATTGTCGAGATCTCTTCGGGCACCACCATTCCCTCTGCTTATTTCCACGACCCTCTTCCTTGACATGCATGTCATTCATAGATATCAGAAGCAGGAGCCAAGGATCTTCCACAACCCCCTCTTCAGGTCCGCCCCATGTAGCCAACCTTGGCGCACTCTCATCAGGGGAGCCGCCCAGAGTAGCAGCACTGGCTCAAGCCCACAACCCTAATCGCCCATTTCAAGCAAATGGTTTTGATGTGAGAAACCCGGAGCAACGAAGACACATGTATGCTGATGTAATCATTTGGAGGTGACGAAATACCTATTGTGTTTTATTCATTTTGCTAATAGCGAACGATTATGGATCAAGCGAGGAAGTTTCTTCATGTAAATAGATTGCCATCTCTGCTTGTCTGTAGTAAATCCCGCTAGCTGCTGGAAGTTCTCTTGAAATTCACTTCAAAGTCGAAGAGTCGATTAGGGGATGCCTGGCCTGCAGCTAACTGTTGTTGTTGCTGCGAATGATCCATACTTGATCCACTTGCTATATATTTAGCTGGATACAGACAGGGCGGAGCAAAGCAAAGATGCAGTGTCATATCTGGTTATATGCATATATCACCACTAGCATGTGCACACCATACCATCATCATATCCGCGGCCAGCACTGAAGCAGCAGAAACATATATATACATAATCCGCAGGATACGCATCCACGAGAGCATGATTTAGTTGGCACAGACATGCGAATAAACATCTCCAGCCAGCGCCATGATAATAAGAAAAAGCAAAAAACAAGGCAGGAAACGGTTGGGACGTATCCCGCGCCGAATCCACGTGCTGACTTTGTTTAGCCCCTCGGCGCCGTGGCACGATCATGCCCGCGATCGGACCCCGCGCGGGTCAAATGGTTTTCAATTAGTACTACGAGCGAACATAATAATCACCAACGCTAAGATAACGAGAACGGTTTTGCTGGCCGATGGTATGATATGATGTGATGCAACGCGTGGCGCCACGACGCGCGGATCGCCGTCGTACCGCCGGTGGCGATTCTCTGGTGGTGTCGAACGGGCCGGGGAAAAGGGAGAAAAGGGGAGGGGAGGGGGTGGAGAGATTCCCCGACAGCAAAATCTAGAGGAGGGGGAGGGGAAAGAAAGCATTTCCCGTGCCCCACGAGCTGGCCACCGCCGGCGGGCCCCGCGCGCGCGCGGCCTGGGCCCACTACTCCTCCTCTCTCTCCCTCTCTCCCACGCTCGCGGTCACCCCCAAGAAGAGGAGGGGAGGGGAGGAGGCTTCATCACTGGCCTGCAGGTGCGCCGGGTCATCAAATCAAATGCTCGTACTCCCTCCCACCTCCCGCCCGGCTGCTTAAAAGCCCATTCTCGGTGCCGCCTCTGACCTCACCTCACCTCACCTCATCTCACTCCGGTGCAACGCCTCGCACTCGCAGTCATAATTCCATCTACTATCTTTCTTACCACTAGTAGGAGGGCCGAGGACCTGCTGCTGCTGCTGGAGTTTGTCTGGTAGAGAGGAGAGGAGAGGAGAGGAGAGGAGAGGGAGATGGAAGGAGGAGGCGCGGAGGGGGTGACGAGGGTGCTGCTGGTGGACGACTCCCCGGTCGACAGGAAGGTGGTGGAGCTGGTGCTCGGCAGCAACACCTTCGCCGGCTCCTTCCACGGTCAGCTCCCTTCCTTCCCTTCCATGCCTTTCTTTAGATTGAATTCTCTTCAATGGCGCGGCTATTCAATTTTCCTCTGCCGCCCATGCTTTTGCTCTGTTAATTTGCTCGGCCCATGCGCGTGCCTTCTCTTGAACAGCATGTGTGCACTGCAAACTGCAGATAGAGAGCATAATCGATCGTCATCGCCCCATAATTAATCTTCCTTTCCTTCCCCATTGCTGCCACGGTTGCTCTGTACTAAAATCTTAACAACGTCATGCAGTCATCGCCGTGGACAGCGCCAAGAAGGCCATGGAGTTCCTGGGGCTCAAGGACGGCAAGGTAACCAACAAATTCCATCCGCCCTGTCCATGGCACATCGCCTCGCATTCAGTACTTCACCAGCTGCAAAGCAGGACTTGCTTCTTATTTTCTTTTATTTTCCCCACTTTGGCTATCCATTGGCACCATGGCGGCGCGCCACTTGTCGGTGGGCCGCCGTACCGTACGGGGGGAGGGGCGGGCTCGCGCATGCGCATGCGCGTGAGGGTTTTGTGTTCTTGAGGGGAGGACGAGAGCCAGAAAAGGCCGCCGCTTTTTGATGGGGGGAAACGGATAAAAACTCGCCGTCTTACAGCGGCCTGCCGAGGCTGTCTGGTAGCCACAGGACATGAGAGCACTAGTTTAAGGCACGGTTGGAGAAAGGTGTTGCTTGGATTAGCAGGGTAAATAATAATCTGCTAGTAGTACTGATTGTTTTCTTTCACCTGTGGTGTTTGTCTCCAGGAGCAGGCCGTCGACATGGTGCTCACTGACTACTGCATGCCCGAGATGACCGGCTACGACCTCCTCAAGGCCATCAAGGTGCACATCTCACTGCATACGTGCCCATTTTTTCTTCACATTTGTGATATGAAAGAAGATGTCCAATGCTCCCAGATTTCATTACTAATTTTCATGGACGTTTTCAGGCCATGAGTCCTCTCAAGCCTATCCCGGTGGTCGTCATGTCGTCGGAGAACGAGCCCCAGAGGATCAGCAGGTGAGCCTCGATTTTGTTTCCCCTTTCCTTCACTCGAGCATCCATTTTTGTTCAAAGTCGATGAAGCAATGGGGGTGGGGGCAAAAAAGGTTGCCTTTGCTGCGACAGTAGGCAGACAGTACATCATGGGTCTAAAGCTCAGTTAATAACATGGATTCGTAGCCACAGTGCTTGCTGCTTCAGTAAATACGCTGCAGTCAGTTCATTATGCTGCCTGTCCTTGCTCCTCCCATTATGTATCAAGTATCAGTGAATTTTGAACATCCCATGGAGATCTCTGCTTTTCTCAGTGCATTCATTGTGTCTTTGTAACCTGTTGATTGTACTATACAGAATCCTGCAGCTGATACCTGATAGTAACCGCCTTAACTTTTTGCTGGGGACAGATGCCTCAAGGCTGGTGCTGAAGATTACATCGTCAAGCCTCTTCAGAGCAAGGATGTGCCGCGCCTGAGGAGCTGCTCGAACGCGAAACCCAAGGACCCTCCATGCAGCACTGTGAGCAAGAGCGCGGACCATATAGCTGCTGTCGATGGCACGTCGTCGTCGCTGCGACGGCGAGCACACCTCACCGATATTGCCATGGCACGTCACCACCCCGACCTCCATCTTATTACCGCACCGTCGTCTAGCCGTCTGATGTTCCAGGACTCATCATCATCTTCGCTTGCTGTTGTGTTTCTTTCAGGTCCTCCACTCGTCGAGCGCCGGGCTCTCGCACTACTTCCCGTTCCTCTTCAAGTTCATCCTGCTGGTCTACGCCATCCTGTGCGTCGGCGAGCTCCTGCACAGATGGTCCAACGGCTGCTTCCTCTCCTACCTGAGGTGATGGTGCCGCGGTCCAGTGACATGCTGCAGCTCTGCAAGGAGGAGTAGCTCTTGTGTCGTAGCTTATGAGTGAGCAGTGAACCTCCATGTTTCAACAACCATGGATGGAGCTTTAGGTAGTAGATTCGTTTGCTTTGAGATTCTAACCGGGCGGGCGTCGGTTCTTGGCCTTGTTGGGCTGGTGAGTCGAGGAAGAACCCCTTGTATCCATCCTTGTACAAAACGCACAATGAGGCAGGCAGTATCTGATGTCCCTTTTGGCTTGGATCTTGGCTGATCTACTGATGTGACATCCAGGGAACTTTTCTTCGCCTTTCACTTGGTTGAGGGCGACTGCTCACCTGTTTCAATAGTTCATCAGATCTCATGAGAAAAGAACAGCACAAGCTGACTTAAAAGTAGCACCAGATCTTCTGATGAGAAAAGAAAAAGATGATGCAGACACCCTAGTATGGTCTCAAAGGTCAGGTCTATACCGTCTATGTATTGTACTCCCGGATTGTGTAATTGCATTCATGCGGTAGTTCAGACAGCGAAATTGCGCGATAGAATGTTTGCTTTCAGATGGGACCTTTCTATTGGATGATTCCAGATAAATGTTTGCTATTTACATGCCTAGTAATAATAATGTACAAAGGTGGGTGAGGATCCAAGCCATTGAAATAACAATATTGCCTCCTGCGGCATGGGTTGCCCGTCTTCCTACTGCTACTGTTGTATTTTATGGTTGTATGCATAGGTGCAAGTTCCTTCTGCCATTCTACATTTCACCATCTGGTTGAGGTGCAAATTCTTTCAATATGTCTTCCTTGTATGGACCTGATTCATGCAGGACATTGATGACATGCTTAACCTGATATCAACGCAAACAAGAAAACATTAGTTGGAATTGTCAGCAACAGTACCTGATGGATAAGCACCTATTGGAAAATAGAAGGATTCTAATAAAATGAAGGAGCAGCATAAAAATCAGCTTTCTCTATTACTATTTGTCCCTAAATTCAAAAGAGTGGACACATGCTAGATGGAGATAAAAGTATACAAGTATTATTTGTCAGAAAACATAGAATTACTCATGACATCATGAAATGGAGGTAGTCTATAATGATTAATATATTTCTAAGATGGAAAAGTCGAAATTTACTAGTTCGTTTTTACTTTTGCGCGCGAGTATTAATTTAGAAAAGAAATGTCGAAGGGTTGATACACGGCACCAGTATTCTTTTATGTGGAAAATGCATATTTAGACAAGTGTTATCATTAAATTCTAGTTACTATATTAACACATACACCTTTTTTAAGTGTGCAGGAAAGCATACACTCCTTTCCAAGAGCAGTAGCCGCTATTGTTTGGCATTTATTAGCTCCAAAAGCTGAAGCTCAATGTGAGAGAGGGAGCAGAATGCATAACTGTCCACCGAAGAATTACATGGGAGTTTAATGGTGATGCATGCTCTACACAGTGCAAACTTAAGAGCAATCAATCCGCACAGTAGTGGCTTATCAGCCATCATAACATAAAGCCATAACACTGGAATGGTTCTATCGAAAACAGGGTACCATGTTTACATTTCACAATTAAGGACGCAATAATAGTCTTCTGCTATGAGTTCGGCTTTCGGATGACATAACACTAAGTAATTGCAGATACTATGCATGCAGATGGCTGAGTAGCAATTGTGGATGCAATATATTTAGGAAAGCGGTTTACAAATCCATAGGAGGCATATATTGAAAACACAAAAAGATGGCTAAGTCACAACAACAAAGCCTTTAGTCCGAAACAAGTTGGGGTAGACTTGAGCTGAAACCCACAAGATCTCAAAAGCGTTTAGTCAAAAAAAGATGGCTAAGTGACATTTAAGGGAATATATTTTGAATAATCTCTGGTAACTGATTGAGTATTCAAGTGGAATACCTGAGCTGTCTCATGTACAAGAAAATTTCCTATAGCTGTCGCAAAACCAGGTTCTAAGAAGTAGTGGCAGCTGTAAGTTGTAACAGGGAGGTAACCACGCTGGATCTTGTGCTCTCCCTGGGCACCAGCTTCCACCTTACTCAGGTTTAGTTCTATGGCCGCTTCGATTGCCTGAACGTATAAATATTCTATAAGAACCACATGTGTCTCCACATTGTTCAGAGTACAGTCAGATATAATATGTCCACTACAAATATAAGAGACTTTTGAAGTCAATCTTCTACAGGAAATCGATTCTTATGAACTGGCCATCCCATCATTTGAGACAGCTCTACCTTTTTGCAGAATGGTCGAATAAGCATGTCCCGATGAAAGTTGGGAACAGTATTACCATGACAGATTAGTTCTCAGTTAATACAGTATACATTATTGTACAAAGATGTGTGAATTACCTGGTAATAGCAAGCTTCAAAATGCAAATTGGGGAAATGGGCATCTGGTAGGCATCCCCATAAGCGGCCATATAATGTATCACCTCCAATAAGATTAAGAGCTCCAGCGACAACTTTATCATCATGTTCAGCAACAATTAGCATTACCTTGTCGCCCATCTTTTCTCCCAAAAGGTGAAAGAACTCCCGCGTCAAGTATGCTCTGCCCCAGCTGCAAACAAACTTATCATATAAGTGAAAAAATTACGTCACACAACTTCTATGCAAGTACCACAAATTCAAA